TCCAGAGGACTTCCCTGACCCCCAGCCCACAGAGATCCGGTGCCTTTCTGTCCATCCCGTTCATGTGCACTCCATATGGAGCCTCTTCTTCCTCCTTCATCACCTGGCAACCTTGGGTCTCGGCCCCCTCTACTCATGCCTCTAGCCTGGCTCTGATCAAACCCCTAGACTAAGAATCAGCCTCTGAAGGGAAGGTTTCAAATCCCCCTGCCCTTGAATTGGACTTTGCAGGGGGCAGCATGGTGAAGGGGAACAAATAAGAGCTTTTGCATCAAACGCAGCTGGGTTCAAATCCTAGCTCAGACACTGGCTGACTGGGTAGCAATGGGCAAGCCACCTGCCCTCTCCATACCTGTTTCTTTATCTGTAAATTGGAGGTACTGATAAAAATCTGTATCTTTCAGAGTTGTATTGGTTGAGAAAGGACTAGAGGTATAATGACATGTGACAAGTGGCATTCCATAAATGGTAGCTATTATTGCAAAGGCACAGTAGCTTGCTGGCCCCTTGGTAAAGAGAGAGGGGAGCAGTCTCTGATGCTCTCATTTTACAGCTGAACAAACTGAGGCCCAAAGATGGGAAGTGCCACCTCGTCAGACAGGGTTTCTTGGATATACCTGGGTTCTAGAACCTTCCACTGAAGGCAGAGGCCCAGGGGATGTTCTGTGGAATAGTGGCCACACCTAAGAAGGTTTCAACCTCCCTGCATTCTTCTTTAACCTCTTTCTTCCATTTCTGAGCTCATCTCCTCTTCCCATCTTTCTTTTTTTTTAAACTCTATGTTTTTTCTAGCTCCTTCCTAGCAGAGGTTCATATTTTGCATCAAGCCTCTTCTAGCTTTTGAGTGTGTTGTTTTGTTTCTCCCACACGCATGTACGTGTGTGTGTGTGTGTGTGTGTGTGTGTGTGTGTATTGAATTTTTTTCCCTGTGCATGTTATTCTTGGAGACAGAACTGCCTCCGCTTAGATGATGGGATGGAAGGCATGGGGACAGAGCCATGACATCCCCTTTGGGACACTGCTGTCTACTGGCTCACCAGGGCATGGGAACCTTAGGGTAGGTCACCAGGGAAGCTCCCAGTGTGCAGGGCAGGGACACTTCTTCCCAAAGAGACAATGAAACAGCAAGTGGCAGCCCTCACCTCCTGACCACAGCTCACCTCTCCCACTCCCTGCCACCAAAGTTAGTCTCCTGCCTGGAAAAACAGCCTTGAGCCACCACGGTTACATCTGTTTCTCCAGGAATACAACAAAGACCACAAACCAAGGCACAGTGAGGAGTCACTGCTGGGAAGACCAGCCTTCAAGTCCAGGGTCACAGAGTGGTTTATCCCCTCCCCATCGCCAGATCCACTTTGCACTTCTGGCCTCTCATGGACATGATGTGTGTTACCAGATTTCTCGTGACCATCCTATCACATGATGAGGAAACAGAAGTCCAGAGAAGTGGAGGGGCCCTCCCAAAGTCACACAACTGTGGTTTCCTGATTCTGAATCACAAGTGGACATTGCTCCCAAAGCACAGAAGATCTGCACTTAGCGTAGGACAACCGCGCACCATTCCTCAGAGTGCTCAGACACATTTATCACAGTGGGATGCTGATCACCAACACATGGTCTAACGGGTTTCAGCTCTTCTGTTTAAAAAGGCAGAGAAAAGCTTAAGGAATGGTGGGAATTTTCCCTGAAAAGCATTTTAAAACATTTTCATCTCTAAAGGAATAAGCCCTTACCAAGCAAGAAAACTTGACTCTCCATAAAAAACTAATTTCCTGAGGTTTTACTGACTTTGGCTTTTTACTTAACAGTGAAAGGGTCATTTCATTTACACACAGTCTTTTCAGATGAGAAGGCCCCCCCTTTGAGGGTCAGAACCCTGCCGCCTACAGGATGGCTTTGTGGGAATTAGAAAACGGTGTCACTTCCTCAATACATTTACTTCCATCTATCAAAACATTGTTGTAATACATGGATTTCATTAAGTTGAGATATTTAACTGCCATCTGCCAGAATATTATCATGATAAATATCACAAAACTATAATGTCTGTGAAATAGCATCCCTGGATTATCATCTATTGCTGTGTAACAACACAAAAACATGGTGGCTTAAAATGAGAATAGTGCCTCCCAGTTTCTCTGGATCAGGAATTTGGGAGAAGCTCAACTGAGCAGTCCCGGTTCAGCGTCTTTCCTGAGGTTGCGGTCAAGATGTCAGCCAGGGCTGCTGTCATCAGAAGACCTGACTGGGGCTGGAAGATCCACTCTCAAGGTAGCTCACCCATTCAACTAGCAAGTTGGCACTGGCTGCTGGCAGAAGGCCTCAGCCCTCTGCCATAGGGGCCTCTCCCTAGGGCTGCTTGAGCATCCTCACAACATGGCAGCTGGCTTCCCCAGAATGAGTGATCCAAGAGAAAGCAAGGTGGAAGCGGCAATGTCTTTTATGACCTCACGTCTGAGGTCATGTCTCTTGACTTCCACAGATCTTATTGATTAGGCAGGTAAGTCTATTTATGTGGGAAGGGATCGTACAAAGGCATGAAATCATGCCACCAAGAGGCAAGAGTCACTGAGAGCCATGTCTGAATCTTCTACCACAGCCCACTTAGATGTAGTGCCGTTATATAGTAAACAACTTGCACAACAGTAATTTCAGGCCAGCTAAGGACAGCCCTTGCCATAGACCTTCCACCAACTTTGTGCCAGGACTGTGCTAAGCACTTAATGATATTATCTGCCCTCAAGCAGCTTACAGTCTAGCAGAGACACTAATCATTAAAGTTCAAGGCAGAGTCAAATAAATGACAAAAATCAGGAGACCAAAGGCTGGAGAGACCAAGCCTCTGAATTGAGGGATGGGGAAAGGGTTGTCTAAGTGGGACCTTGAAGTGTGGTTGGGATGTGGACCCCTGGAAGTGCAAGACATTGGATGTTCTCGAGCCAAGAATGCAGCATGAACAAAGGCATGGCAGCTGAGAACAGGGTGTATGTTTAGGATTTGGAGAGTAGGGGCTGCAAAAGTACATTTGGGTCACATTGGAGGGGAGTGTTACGGCCACTCAGTCCATCCAGGTGACCACCCGCTCTCAGCTGTGCTCAGAAGTTGGGATGGGAAAAGCTGATTGAGCCACAGCTCTATTTTCTCCTCTCTCCTTCTCCTCTTGCCCTAGAAGAGAAACCACCACAAAAACTTACACAGAGTAGGGGTGGCTGTCTGGGGAGCAAGGGAGAGGAATCCCTCCCCAAGACTCTAAGAAAGGCAGTAGCCTGGGGCTGGGGCAGTCTCCACTTTTTCACAGTTATGTCCCTTTAAGCTGTTAGAGCACAGGAATTCTTGATTTGTTCTCTGTGCATCCCCAGAGTCCAGTACAGAGCCTGGCACAGGAAGAAAACCCAGTAATATTTAGTGAATGAATGCATGGACTGGCAGGGTCTCTGGCCCTTTTAAAGATGAGAAGGTGGGAAAGCAGTGAGGCCTTAGCTCTGGGAAGCCTCCCAAGCCTCTTGGGGCATGGCAGAGAAGTCTAACTTCAGGCACCTGGCTGGTGAGATTACTTAGGGAAGGCCTGGGCTGCCCCGTGGTAGAGGAGAAGGTGAGGGCAGGGGAGGAGCACCCGGCACCCTCATGCCTCCCCAGTGCCTCCAGGCCCCACTCACGTTTCATGAGCTGGCACTTCTCACTCCTCCCCGCCCCCTGCCTCTGCCTACCCAGGGCAAAACATCCAGAAGATAAACGTGTAAGGGTCTCCAGAGCGCTTCCTGCTGGGGGCGTGGGCCTTTAGGGTTTTTCTGTTTTGTTTTCTCCCCACTTTATTTGTATCAAGTTATCTTGGTACAAGCCGGAGGACTCTGCTAAGATTTATCTAGATGGGCCATGTTGAAACTTTGCTGAAAGTAGAAGAGCCCTATCAAGCTCATCCAACCCGCCTCATTTTATTGCTGCTGTTCTGTTTTGGTTTTAGACGAGGAAGGGGCTTTACTGGCCCAACCAGAAACAGAAACTAACAATCCATGACTGTATTCTCTCCTTGGGACACCCCTGCCTGCTCTGGCACATCCCACATTTTGTCCTGGTTGACTATGTTCACCCGTGCTGTGAGCTGTGCTTCCCGAAAGGAAGGGAGGCCAGTTGTCCTCTGTCATGCCCTGCTTTCTCCTGGCAGCTGCGACTGGCCATACTTTAGGTATAACATGTATAATGATAAGGTGTCTCAGAAGAGGCTTCTCACCACAGGGGTTATTTTCATGAGGCTAACAGAATGCAGACATGAAAAAAGTAACAAATGTACTTGCATTTATATTTATATTGCATGTATATTTATATTGAATATTGCATTTATATTTGCATTGAATTTAAATATTTATAGGTGAAATGGCTCTCAGATATACATATATAGGATGTTAGTATTTTTTTAATAAAAAGATCAAGAATTACAAATGGAAGGAAACTTCAACTATGGTGAATGAGTAAGGTCAGGAAGCAAAATATACCACAAGGCCCCCACTCACTTGCTGAAAATCGGCCACAAAATTTGTTTTAAGCTTCCTAGTAGCCAATGCAAAGTGTGAGTCTATCACAGAGTCAGAGGATTTGAGAGACAAACCAGAGCTGCTTCTCAGCAGAAGCAGTGAGAGGTCCTTGCCCCACAGAGGTGGGTCCTGTTCCTGTAGCCAAGGCAACAGCTGGGTTTGTGTGGCTTCTCATCCTGCCATTGTATTCTGCAACTGCATGTTGGCAAAGTGGAATTCAGTAAAATCAAGCCTGCGAGAAGCCTTGCAGCCTTTGCTGAGTACCTGACACCAGCTGCCCAGTGAGACGCCTAACTCCAAGAGTCTTAGGGGTCCAGAGAAAAGCCCTATCTTGTAAGCCACGCTGTGAATTGCAGATGAAATTTGGCAAAGCTGAGAGGCAGGAGGACCATCCTTGCAGTGGACAGGGAGCTCTTATGCAAAGGAGGTGGCTCAGAGTCCTAACCCAGACTTCTGTGTGTGTCTCTGCAGGGCTCTGGCTGAGAACATGGCCAATGACATTGATGAGCTCATTGGCATTCCCTTCCCCAACCACAGCAGTGAGGTCTTGTGCAGCCTCAATGAGCAGCGGCACGATGGCCTGCTGTGCGACGTGCTCCTGGTGGTGCAGGAGCAGGAGTATCGGACCCACCGCTCCGTCCTGGCTGCCTGCAGCAAGTACTTCAAGAAGCTCTTCACCGCCGGCACCCTAGCCAGCCAGCCCTACGTCTACGAGATTGACTTCGTGCAGCCTGAGGCTCTGGCCGCTATCCTGGAGTTCGCCTATACCTCCACGCTCACCATCACTGCCGGCAACGTCAAGCACATCCTCAATGCCGCCAGGATGCTGGAGATCCAGTGCATCGTGAACGTGTGCCTGGAGATCATGGAGCCTGGCGGGGACGGCGGGGAGGAGGATGACAAGGAGGACGACGACGATGACGAAGATGACGATGATGAAGAGGATGAAGAGGAGGAGGAAGAGGAAGAGGAGGAGGACGACGACGATGACACGGAGGATTTTGCTGACCAAGAAAACTTGCCCGACCCCCAGGACATCAACTGCCACCAAAGCCCTTCCAAGACGGACCATCTCACGGAGAAGGCCTATTCAGACACCCCCAGGGACTTCCCTGACTCCTTCCAGGCTGGCAGTCCTGGCCATCTGGGGGTGATCCGGGACTTCTCCATTGAATCTCTGCTGAGGGAGAACCTGTACCCCAAAGCCAACATCCCCGACAGGAGACCCTCCTTGTCTCCGTTTGCTCCAGACTTCTTCCCACACCTCTGGCCAGGGGACTTCGGTGCCTTTGCCCAGCTGCCTGAGCAGCCCATGGACAGTGGGCCACTGGATCTGGTCATCAAGAACCGGAAGATCAAGGAGGAGGAGAAGGAAGAGCTGCCCCCGCCCCCACCACCACCCTTCCCTAACGACTTCTTCAAGGACATGTTCCCTGACCTGCCTGGGGGGCCTCTGGGCCCCATCAAGGCAGAGAACGACTACGGTGCCTATCTCAACTTCCTGAGTGCCACCCACCTGGGGGGCCTCTTCCCACCCTGGCCCTTGGTGGAAGAGCGCAAGCTGAAGCCCAAGGCCTCTCAGCAGTGCCCCATCTGCCACAAAGTCATCATGGGGGCCGGGAAGCTGCCACGGCACATGAGGACCCACACCGGGGAGAAGCCATACATGTGCACCATCTGCGAGGTCCGCTTCACCAGGTGCGCATTGCAGCCTCGGGTGCGGGGGACAGGGCCAGAGGCCATGGGGGACAGCAGAGTCGGGCAGGGAGGCTGGGGATGGCGACAGAGACCCAGAAGGATCCCAGACACATGCAGGCTCATGGCTAGCAGGGGTGCTAGGCATCACCTGGTACTGTGACTTTCAAACCCTTTTTAGGGGCTGCAGTATTTTCTCAGATACAATATTAGGCAGAAACCCATGACACAAAACAGCTAAGAGCAGGACTGTTCTGGTTGGGACAGAAGTGAGGCGCCTCAAGCATCTTGGTTGCTTGGCTTCCCCATCTTCTTCCAGCTGTAAATTCATGGAACCCAGTTGGAACGGCTGGCAGTCCCAGATGGAGTGCTGCCCCTTCATTTTATTTGGAGAAGCAGCTCCTGACCTTGATGAAGCATGTTCTACATGCCAGGGGCCATCCTAGGCACCGTAAACATACTCTCACCACAGCCAGGCCCTGGGAAGATGGGAAGATGGTGGCCTTCGTTTACAATACACCTCCCAGTAGCTGACCACGAGTGTGTGCACTGGAAAATGGCAGAGCTGGGACTGGCATCCCAGTCCCTGTGTGACAGCCAAGTCTGTGACCAGGAGACTGCAGAGGTGCCTGGTAGGCCCTTTCCATCATTTTGGGGTCAGACCTAAAGGTTGGGCCTCTTTTTATGTTCCCCTCTTTGCCTTTCCATGTTAGGAAGGGGGACAACTTTATGCTGTTATAAAATGTGAAATTTGAAATCAATACATTATAAACCTGTCATCTTTCATAGACCCTGTCCCATTCAGCAAGCGTATGTTGCATACCTCCTCTGCACAGCAACTTTCGCAGTCAAAACTGATGAGTGGGTTCATGTGGGGTCAGACCTGTCCGCTCCCAGCTTTGGAGAGGGCTCACTTTTGGAAAATACCGACTGTTGGTGCTATCTGTGGTTCCTGGCATGAGGCTGATCTTCTCAGCCCTATCCACAAATGGGAAGGATTCTAGTGGGTGGCCTGGCATCAGGGCTTGGTCATTTCAGTGTGTCCTGTGTGCACAGAGCCTGGCGATGCCTGCCCTGTGACCACAACTTACTAGACCAGGTTCCTTCCCCACACTGCCACTTTCCCTCTCAGATAACTCACCTGGAGAGACCCACGCTTATTCCAGTGGTGCTGCCGCTGCCCCACTTCCCCTTGGAAATATATCTTTGGGAATTGCTGGCAGCTCATTCTTTTGATTTTCCTTAGTGGGCCCAAAGCTTCGGCCTGAGGATGCAGTACAAGTTTGTGAATGAGGGTGGATATCCAATCAGGGACTATGCTTATCCAGAAAAAATTTTAAAAAGATGAGTCCTCTAAAGTCATGAGACCTGTTCTCTTGGGTGGCTTCGAAACTATCATTGGCAAAGAGTTTCAGAAATTCGTTCAGTGGACAGTAGTGTGGCTAAAATCGCTCTGCTGGCTCCTCTGATGACTGCTTTGAAGGACAACACTGATTATTTCCAAGACAGCCTTGGGGTCCTGCTCACAGCTGCTTCTGTGAGGAGAACCCCAGACAGCATCTGTCCCGGATGCTTCCAGTGACAGTAGAAAGAGAAGCTGCAGGAGCAGAGGGGCAGGGCCTCACAGACCCAGGATGTGCCTTCCTTGCCCTTAGCAGTGAGCTAAGCCAGCCACCCGGCAATGCTGACGGCAGGGCGCCCTGCTCCTGTTAGCCCCCAGAGCAGACGGACCCAAAGCTCCCGAGATTCCCTCCCCTTGGATGTCCCTCAGTGACAGCCCTGCCACCCCAGTGCCACTGTGGTTGATGCTGCCCCCTGCCTCCTCCTGAATTCACCTTAGCCCCACAGAGCCAGGCAGAACACCTGGACAGGCTTTGCAAAAACACAGAAATGACCGAGGGAGATAAACCAGAGCACCATGTGAAAGCCAAATTCAGGTGCAGCTCACGCGTCTTCAATGGGAGTCTGGCTTCAGCCTGAGTCCCAGCCCCTGCCTATGACTTTAAGGTTGCCAGGAAGCTCTGCACAGGCCCAATCAGGAAAGCCAGCCATGTTATCAGCCCGGAGCATCCTCTCCTGCTAACACAGGCTCCACCTCCCTCACTGCCCATGGCTGTCCCCTTGGCAGATGGCTGACAGGAGCACTTCTCCTGTCACGGGAGACTCGGGCTGGTGACTCCAATTCCAAAGGGATCTGTGTCTCAGGGTACCACACGGTGGCCCTGCTGGCACCCTGAGCCCCCACCTCCCTTCCTTCCCCACTCCCTTTTCTCTGGCCCACACACAGCCTTCTGTGAGGTCCATACCAGGTCTGGACGGTCTGTGTGCTCTGGTTTTTTGTTTTTGTTTTTTTGAGACAATTTCAGTCTCATCACCCAGGCTGGAGTACAATCACATGATCTCAGCTCACTGTAACCTCTGCCTCCTGGGTACAAGTGATTATCCTGCCCCACCCTCCCAAGTAGCTAGGATTACAGTTGTGCGCCACCACGCCCAGCTAATTTTTGTATTTTTAGTAGAGATGGGGTTTCACTACATTGGCCAGGCTGGTCTCAAACTCTTGACCTCAGGTGATCCCCCATCTCAGCCTACCAAAGTGCTGGGATTACAGCTGTGAGCCACTATGCCTGGCTTGTGTGCCCTGTTTTAAGGGAAAGTTTTAACCTTGCACAGTCACTGCTGGCAGACTCTTCACCCTCTGGACCCTGGGACATTCTCTGGGAGTGGGCCTCCTGGTTGGGGCAGCAGTGCTGTGTTGTATAGGAGGGTGACATTCCGGTTTCCTCCCTCCCAGCACATTCCTGATGGTCACTTGGGATGGCCTCTGTCTGCAGTCCCCACTCCCGGCCAGGTCTGCAGTGGGGCAGCTCTGGTCATCCAGCCATCTGGCCTCGGGCTCCTCCTGCTCCAGAATGGCGGCTGTCTGGCCCCAGGCCTGTCTCCAGCTGAAGCCAATGCATTCCAGACCCCTTGGCACCCCACCACTTGTCCCCGCTGGGCTCTGACCCTCCCAAAACAGATCAGACAAGCTCTTGGGTCTCTCTCTTACCAGGAGGGGAGAAACCGAGGGCGGGGGGAAGGCAGGGTGGAGGAGATGGCTGCTCCTCACTTCAGAGGCTTTATTGCTCATCGTGGGCTGCGGCTGCCCTTGTGGGGCACTCGCCATTCTCCTCCCCTCACATTCTCCAGAATCACTGGGCCTTTGCTTCTCACCCCATCTCTGGAGCTGCCTGGCAAGAATTCTTTTCGGTGCTTGAAGAGCCCCAAGCATGGTCTGTCCAGGTTGAGGCTTTCCTGTAATTCTCTCTGTGACCAAAGCTCCCTGCAGGCTTTCCACGGGGACCTTCTTTTTGGCTGAATTCCCCGTTAGGATTCCTAACACCTGCTCCTTCCACCTGGAATCTCTTCAGCAGCCACTTAGAGCGGTGACAGCCAGCTGCCTTTTTGACATAGAATTCCCAGACTCCCTTCCAAGGCCACGCCACTGAGACTGGCCCCTGTAGTGTCCTTCTTGTCCCCCAGCAAGGACCCAGACATGCTGCCCTCAAGCTTTCCTCTTGGAAATGATTTCCCCTTCTGGAACCAAGTCTTTCCTTCAGCACAGCTGAGCTTCTGCCCTGGCAAAGCCCCATTTCCTCCCTCCTTGATGCTGAGAAGAGCTCAGGGTCCTGCGACACTCCTGTGGGGTGCTGGAGAAGCCTACCCTTCCCCCACATGGTGGCCCGTTAGCCCAGACTCTGAGTCACAGCCTCCCAGATGCCAACTCCAATGTCCACACCCCATGGGGACGTCACTCCTAACGACCTCAGCAGCCACAACCAAGGTGGAGGGCATGGGGACCCTTCCAGCAAAGCCCCTCAACCCCTAAGGCCCTGCCCACTGCTGTCATTCTGTGGGTCTGGAGAGGAGAGACAGAGTCCCCCCCACCCAATGGTATTGTCTGTTCTTTGGTGTCAGAAATCTCACCTCTGAGGCAGCTCTAGATTTCAGCCAGTCCTACCAGTTGTCCCACCACTGATCTGTTCCAAATATGAAATATCCCTAGGCAGGGCCTCAAAGGCATCAACCAAACTGTTTCTTTGGCCCCATGCTGTCCCTTCCTAGCTCTGGTTACCCCATAATCACTGGGGCTCCCTTTGCCTGTGCACTCCCCTTGGCTTAGTTCAAGAGCACTGTTTTCTTCCTGGGAAAGGCTCGTGCTAGCTAGAGAGGCAGCTCCTGTCCCTTCCAGGTCCTACTTGAGACACAAAAACAGCTCCAGGTCATAGGGCAGAGGCAGTCTAGACCAGGATTACCTCAGAACCTCTTCATCAGGGGTCCTTTCCCTTCTCTTCCCAGAAAGTTGGGAAGCCAGGAGCCAAAGGTTAGGATGGCAGCGTTCTGCCAGAAGTGACACGTAGGTCAAGCCTAGAAGAACAGGAGCCATGTGATCTTGGGAAGATAAAGCATTTGTCTTCATGCATAGGGACACTGCTGAGCTTGGTGGGTATTTTCTCTGTCCACAGACATCCCAGGTGGCCCCCCGCACACCTTTTTGCCCCATTTGCAGCCATCACTGCCAACTGGGCCTGGCCCTGGCCCTGTGAAAGCCTCTGCACCTTCCTCCTCTTTATTCCCGCCACATGGGTCCTTGATTGCAGGCCACAGGGACTTGCCTTCCACCTCCCCCAGCCCTTCTGTTAGGAGCGCCCAGAGAGCATGGCTGGCTGGTCTCCCTCCTGAAGCCCCTGCATCCTGCGGAAGCCTGGCTCCCAGCAGTGCCCCAGCCATGCCTGATGGGGACAGTAGTGAAGGCAAGAAACTGCAAAATGAGAAGAGACTGGCCCAAAAACAGCAGAGGTCCCATGGAGGGCACACGGTCCTGGGCGGGGATGGGCCACCCGTGCAGCACAGTCACTCTCTGACAAGCCACGCTTTCCAGGTCCTGCTCAACCCCGAAGGCTGCGCCTTTCCGTCTCCACCACCCTCCTCCACTGCCAGCCAAATGCTGACCAGCTCTGTCCCCCATGGCTGCCTGCTCTTCAGACAAGCCCGCAACCTGCCTTTTGCTTTCCCTCTGTTTTCTTTGTAGTCCTCCCACTCCTGGCAGCTCTGGGAACCCTATTAAGATAATGTAATGGCATTAGCAGTGGTAGCAGGAAGAGCGTGTCTCAAACCATCCGGTTACAAGAAGTCAGGGTGAAGGCTGCTGGGAAAGCATTATCCTGATTGGGAGACTTTCTGGAGGCCACAGACTTCAGGCCGAGACCCTGCAGCCCTTTTCTGTGATTCTGGGAATGAGCTCATGGGGACTCACGCATTCTTCCCAACAATGAGCTCTCCAGGCTGGAAAGGAGCGTGTAGACTGAGGCTGGGGGGGGTGTATGTCCTTGACTGTCCCTAATGCAGAGAAATGGAACGAGATGGCAGACAAGGGGACCAGGGCCAGAGGAGAGCATGTCGAATTTGGAGTCAGGGACTTCTGAAATTGGCCCCGCTAGTCAGTCACCAAACGTGATGAGCCTCCTCTCTCTCTACATTCAGTGTTGTGCAGAGTATGAAAGAGCATCCCACGGGTTCTCATCAAAGCAGGTACCAGAACCCTCTATGCCACGTGCAAGGAGGAAGAAGGCTAGGGGTAGGAAGGGGCACCCTGGCTCTGCACTTGGCCTTCTAGGAAGGCCCTAAGGGTGGAGCATCAGTGCCCAAGCACAAGACATGCACACAAGGGAAGGAGCCAGGGTTTACCAGGCATCCACCCTATCATGTGATGGGCTGTGCACTGGGGGGCCAGCAGTCCCATTCATACTGGCATGATAGGGCCAGTCTCTTGTCACTCTATAGTCCTTGCAGGCCACAGGTGTTCAAGGATGCAGAGTTGGCCAGTGTGGGGCAGTGCACCATGGGGGACAGGCAGGAAGCTGGCAGAGTACATGGGAGTGAGCTTGCAAAGAGCCCAGAAAGCTGCGCTAAGGGGTATGTGAGTACATATGCCACTGGACAGGGGAGGCCTCAGGAAATTTTAAGTGGAATCTCCAGACCTCCATTCCTACCGAGAAGTAACTAATCTCACCTCCTGAGATTCAGACTAGAACCTATTCCCACTAAACACACGCTGCTTCCACAAGCAGACTGAATTTGTAAAAGAGCAAGGAAGCCAGCCAGCCAAACAGACTCCAGAAAGAAATTTGGTAGACACCCACTACCCAGATGCAAACACTCATGGAGCACCAGCAGTCCCAAGGATGCAGCCCGACCCCCATTTAGAGATCAGGAAACTGAGGCCAGACCAGAGAAGGGACCTGGTCCAGGTCTTGGAGCATGCCCAGCACCACCTCCAGCACCAATGCGCATGTCATAGTATCCACAGGAAAGGTCAGTGTAGAGGAGGAGGCCGTGTGGCCCCTGACCTCCATTCCCTCTTTGGTCCTTGCTTTCCTTATCTTGGAAGTAACTAGCTCCATGTTTTCAAGGTCCTGAGAAGTGTACTGCTAAGAGTGTAGCTCACGGGGTGCACTGACTCAGGCAGTGAATCAGAATGTGGTCAAGTGTGCCTGGTAAACTAGATGATCCTCTGAAGTTTTTTTCCAGAACTGGCTTATCATGAGCTTTGCACACTCTTCCCACCCCTTACCCCCACTCCCACAAAGTGTCACGGTTAAGGAAAGACAGCTCCTGCCCAGGGCTGAGTTCCTCCCATTGGCATACCCCAGTCCTACAGAAAGCTGGCTACTGGCGCCCTCTCGTGATTGTTCTGGTCTGCCCTTTCTGCATCAGTCCTTGCAGGCCACAGGCTGGGAGTCCCTCATGTGAAAATCTAGCCTTCTTCATCCCCAGAATAGCTTACAAACAAACCACAGCCAGGTAGCCCTCCAGGTTTCTTTGCCCCTCACCAGCTGGATAGCTTTGGGAAGCGCTTGACTTCTTCAAGCCTCCTTTCTGCCTGTGTCCAAGTGAGGAAATTACACCAAGTGTGTTGAATCTAGCTCGCCCAAACCCAGATTCTCTCCATCTGCCCTGGACAATGATGTCTGGTGATGTCTGGGGCTAGGTTTAGCTCTGCACAGAGAGGTTGAACAACTTGCCTAAGGCCACCCAGCAAGTTGGTGTTGGGTCTGGAGCTACAACTGGGACTCCCAGACTCCTAGAGGGGCCCTACCTCTATACCATAACTTGCCTTTAAATAATGAATTCCCAAGGTCATTGAAGTCACGTATTTACTTCCCCATAGCAGGTGTTCAATAAAAGGACATTGTAGGCACCTTCTCCATGCTTCTTACATAAGTAGACCAATTGCCACAAAAATGGGACTTATTTTAGATACACTAATGAGAAGTTTGGGAGACATTTGAAAATTTGCCACTTACACTGTCTATTGTTTGAGAGTGACCTCAATGGTCAGTACTACTAATTATGTGTAATAGTGGTTTAAAAAAAAAAACCTACCTTGGCCAGGCGTAGTGGCTCGCGCCTGTAATCCCAACACTTTGGGAGGCCAAAGCCGGCAGATCGTGAGGTCAGGAGTTAGAGACCAGCTTGACCAACATGGTGAAACCCCATCTCTACTAAAAATACAAAACTTAGCCAGGCGTGGTGGTGCATGCCTGTAATCCCAGCTACTCGGGAGTCTGAGGCAGGAGAATCACTTGAACCTGGGAGGCAAATGTTGCAATAAGCCGAGATCACACCACTACACTGCAGCCTGGGCAACAGAATGAGACTCCGACTCAAACGAACAAACAAAAAAACAAAACACCTACCTCATAGGTCATGGTGAGGAGTAATGAGATGATGCATTTAAAGCCCCGCTCAGCTGATTCTGAGCCCTCTACCAGGCCTGGTGATGGAGCCCAACTGACCACCTAGCATCAGTGTTTCCATCAGAGCCTGGATGAATTTGTGAAGGCCCAAGACATATCCCTCAGAACCGGGAAGCTGCGTCACTCCAGGGGTACAGATGGCACTGTGCACCTGACACTTCCATTTTCACAGTCACAGTGCCACAGTGAGAAGAGGCCTTGACTCCCAGGCCTGCCATGACCCTCTGGGTGAGCTCGGCAAGTTTCCCGGCTGAGCCTGTTTGCCCACCCACATGGTGGAGGCTTTGCCTGGACCAGTGGTCCTCAATGTGGGGTCCACGGACCACCACCAGCAGCAGCATCTGACAACCGGTTAGAAATGCAAACCCTGTCCCTCTCCCTACCCAGACCTACTGCTCAGAATCTCTGGGAATAGGGCTCAGCACTGTTTTACTGCGTCCTGATCATGATTCAGATGCATCCTTAAGTTTGAGATCCACTGACCTAAATGGTCTCTGAGGTTCCCTTTCTCCTCAAAAATCCAATCATCTAGTCTAGGTGAAATCTGGGTTACAGAGACCACAGTATGCTGGTAGGGGGTGGGATATCACAGTAGGCTACTGTGTAGCCTGGGGGTGGCGGGTGGGTTGTAGAAGCAGCAGGAGCAGTGGGATGTGGAAGGGAGGAGGGACCCCACTTCCCTTCCTCCCCCCCTCCCAGGGCCTCTCCAGCCTTCCTGTGAGCACAGGTGGGAGGACTGGATCTGCCCTCTCTGCTCCTCCTCCCACAGCACCTGCCAGTGTTCATGGGAATATCCTTTTCTCTCCTGCTCTGCCCCTGGAGAACCAGTTTGAAAATGAGAGCTGGTGAGACCTCTAGTGGTCAGGGGACACCAGGAGCCTAGGACCTGCACCTGCTGTCCTGGGATTATGTTAAGCAGGGTTTCAATCCGGCCATGTTAATTAAGGAGGACGCCTGGATTCCACATCTGCTCTAACCTCAAAGCAGAGCCTGAAATTATAGGCAGATGCTCCACCCAAGCCACACCTGCAGGGAGGAGGTGGGAAACTAAACACAGAGCTTCCTGGCCCATATGGCCCCATTGGGGAAGGCTGCGAATTATCCCAAGAGGAATTCCTGCAGCCCAGCTGCCTAAACCTGAGCAACCTTAAGCTGGTTTACCCAGCGCTCAGTCTTTATGAAAACAACCCCCTGATGTCAGTTTTCCCTTCAGGCCACCAGGAGGTGCATGGAATTTAGTTCACACCAACCCAGATGCTTGCCATCAGCCCTAGACAATGAGAATGGATGTCTGGCTCCAGGTTCAGTTCTGTGCAGTGAGGTTAAGTAACTTGCCTGAGGTCACCAGCAAGTTAGTGGTGGGTCTACAGCTGGAGCAGAGGCTCCCAGACCCCCGCTAGGTACCCCACCCTACATCATACCTTACCTGTGAATACTACTACTTAAACCCTGAAAACTTTTGCCCTGGATTAGGCTGCATTCTTGTCGCACCTGGCTCTATTGTAAAACCCTGAAATTGTCTGCAGACAAAGAGGAGAGCCCAAGGCTTAGGATTAGAAACCAATATGCAGGAGGTTTGAACAAGGTGTGCCCAAGCTTCTATAGCCTCCCAGATTAGTGCCAAACACAGACAGATCTCAACAGCCCAGGGGCTGGGATGGGACCACGGGCTTTGGGCCAAAGCATATGGATGAACTGGAGGGAAAGCATACGGCTGCCTCGAAGAGTGGGTGTGAGATTAAAGTGCAATCCAGTATCAGCAGAAGTCGCTGCACTGTTCTAGGACTAAAGTCAGAATGCTGACTTCTGGCAAAGTATCTTCCTAGCAAGTCCATTTTCCAGTATGTGAGACAAACTCCTAATAGAGTGGGAGTTTCATCACTCTAAGCTCGGGTATAAAAGGAGTTTGAGGGAGTGGGGCTTTCAGGACACTGCTCCTTCCCCATCCCTTTAATCCAGGTGAGTAACCGTACCTGTCTAAGGTGGGGCAGCAGTTGAGGGTAGATCTAGCATGAGATTTCTCTCTAGTAGGGAGCCTCCGCCGGTTCTGGAGGAAGGGGGAGCAGAAGGTTAGGAGTGGCTCCTGGTGTTCCGTGCGGGACTGACCCCTAGTCTCTGCATTGCAGGCAGGACAAGCTGAAGATCCACATGCGGAAGCACACGGGTGAGCGGCCCTACCTGTGCATCCACTGCAACGCCAAGTTCGTGCACAACTACGACCTCAAGAACCACATGCGCATCCACACGGGCGTGCGGCCCTACCAGTGCGAGTTCTGCTACAAGAGCTTCACGCGCTCCGACCACCTGCACCGCCACATCAAGCGCCAGAGCTGCCGCATGGCGCGGCCCCGGCGCGGCCGCAAGCCCGCCGCGTGGAGGGCAGCCAGCCTGCTCTTCGGGCCCGGCGGCCCGGCCCCCGACAAGGCGGCCTTCGTGATGCCGCCGGCGCTGGGCGAGGTGGGCGGCCACCTGGGCGGCGCCACCGTGTGCCTCCCGGGCCCCAGCCCCGCCAAGCACTTCCTGGCGGCGCCCAAGGGCACCCTGAGCCTGCAGGAGCTGGAGCGGCAGTTCGAGGAGACACAGATGAAGCTGTTCGGGCGCGCGCAGCTGGAGGCCGAGAGGAACGCGGGGGGCCTCCTGGCCTTCGCGCTGGCAGAGAACGTGGCGGCGGCGCGGCCCTACTTCCCGCTGCCCGACCCTTGGGCCGCGGGCCTGGCCGGCCTCCCTGGGCTCGCCGGCCTCAACCACGTGGCCTCCATGTCTGAAGCCAACAACTAGGCGGGTCCCTGTCGACTCCAGCCCTCCAGTCCTCCTCCCTCCAGGCCCGCTGTACCCCACCCCATGGATCTGAACTTTTCATTTTAAAAACCCAAAGGGAAAAATGAAAAAAAAAAAAAAAAATACTAGCAGTGATGGCATTTTCCCGGGCTCCTAAAGCAGCGGCCTCCTTTTGCTGGTGTCTGAGAGGGGCGTCTCCTCCCAAAGAGCCTGGAGCCCGGGCCTCCCCCCTCCCGGCTGTCTCTCTGGCTCTCATATAGAAACTTGCACTGGCCCATGCCACACGGAGCTGGGTGCCCAGCAGCACTTAGGAGGTGGGTGAGTTATGAGCGGTCAGGGGCGGTTGGCCTGATGCCCAGCCAGGCAGAGCAGGAGGAGGGTAGGGGCTGGGCATGCCCCTTGGTTAAGCCCCACCCGCTGTAGTAGAGTCTCCGCCAACACTCCTCTGAGGGCTCATTTTCCAGTCTCCAGTGGCCCCAGGATCCTTTTCAGAACTAGCCACCTGCCACCTAGAAAGAAATGCTCTTTGGCAGGGAGGCCTCCTGGAGTCAGGAACCAGGCTCTGGGAGGCCAGGGCCATTTTTCCCTTACCTGTCCTGTGACCTTGACAGGTCAGCCCTCTGTAGCTCGGTGTCACCTGACTATTGAAGGGGCTGGTCACTTAGGTTCCCTTCCTCTGCCCCTAAACACATATACACCTGTCTCCCCAGAGAATCCTGGAGAGGACAGAAGCTTTGTACTCCCCAGGTCCATGGGGGAAACAGTTTATCTTTCTGGACTTAGTTTTATCACATCCAGCTATTACCATATTCGCATAGGTGAGAACTATGGCCATACTAGACAGAGGTCACAGGAGACAGGGGAGCTTCAGAGTGTCACCGAAGCCCACAGGCAGCTCTGGGAACTCCCAATGCCACCCTACTTTCCCTGCAGGCCGCTGTTGATGTCTGGACCCCTGGGGGCACTATTTAGTGTTTACCCCATCTCCAATGCCCCCTCCAAGGCTGAGCAGGGTCTTGGGGCTCTCAGGGCCAACATCAAAGAGCTGGGGGCCAACTCTCAACACCTAGCAACTGTCTCTCCTCACCCTGATTCCTGAAAACAGACAAAATGCCTGGTTTTCTCGGGTTTATCTGTTTGCTTTTTGAGTTATGGGTTCCTCAGGGCACGGCATGGCTAATGATGGTCCCCTTTGTTGTGTGAGAACCCCCTCCATCTCTTCGTCCTCCCTGTGGGGGTGGAGTATTTGGGTCCCCTTTTTTGGCAAAAGGGCTCAGTGCAGGGAGGCAGAAGCCTCTGAGGCTTGAAGGGCACTGTGACACTGTGACTTAGGGCTGCCACGTGTCCTCCTGGTTCACGAGTTTGAAGCAGGTCCTGAAAAGGAAGGCTTTGCTGGCCCCATGCCTTCCTGACCTTCTCTCTCCTTCCCTCCCCTCTCTGTTCTGGCTGAGTTTGCTTTGGTTTCTCAGCAGCCCAGAGAGGAGTAGGGTTCATCCCCAGGGAGAGCCCAGGGCTGGAGTCCCCAGTCCCTGTGCTGTGGGCACAAAGAGACTTCAGCTCTTCCTGTCGCCTTGGCTTTTTCCTGAGCAAACACAACAAACAAAAAGGCCGAGAAGAGCACAGACTCTGTCCCTGTCACAGCTCTCCAGAAGAGACCCCTCCGATTCTTTGTACCACCGGATGCCACTCCAGCCTGCAGGATTGCTACACACATACCCTCTGTCCTCAGAAGTCATCTACCTGGGCAGCCGCCTCTCAGATTCCTGTCTTCATTTCAGACCCTTGCCTCTGAAGCATGCCCGTATCCACCAGCCAACGTGCCCGCGTTCCCCCCTTCCCCAATCAGCCAAGCGATTGGGGCAAAACCAAACTTTAAAAAAGAAAGGAAAAGTGAATAAATTGGATTCCAGTGGTGTTGGGGCTTTCGTTTTTATTTTGTAAAGGTAATGACTTCTTATAAACTCAATTTTTCAGATGACTGGTTAGTTCTTTGTTTTTTCTTAGCTGCAATTTGGAGTTGTACATTGTAAAATATCCAAAGATGTTGAGTACTGTATGATCAAGAACTTGAAGCAAATGGGTTGTGGGGGGAGGGGTGGTTGTGTTTTTATTTTGCTTCAATTTTTTTTTTTTTTTTTTTTTTGATGTTTCGATTTCCCTGTCTGTCTGTGGGAGAACTTTGGAATTTTTTCTATTTATAACTCCTTTTTTATGTGATTGCTCTATGTAAAATGACACTCAACAAAGTTTGCCTTAGTGATTCAAGGGACAATCTTCCATATCTTTGGTCGCACGCCGCATCCTGCCGAGAACAACTCTCAGCTAATTTTCTGGCCTATTTATTAAACAGTATTAATTGACTTGATTAAATTATATTGAGAGTCGCACTTCTGTGAGATGTGACTTCTGGAAGTTCACAGGACAGCAACAAGCCAATCATAAGGTTTTTGACTGGTGGGTGTCAACCTTAAAATAATGTCAAAGACACCTTTACAAAACAAACAAAAGCCTTTGACCCTTACTTAATACTTTAAAGGACAGTGCTTTGAGTAAAAGTGAGCTACGCTTGATTAATTTCCTGGTAAGATGCATTCCCCCTTCCAGCTGCCATTTCAGTTACTCAGGGATGTTGCATGGTAGGGAGGGCGGAACTCAGTTCTAAGCAGTCTCTTACATTCCAGTTCTGCAAAGCATGGTTGGATCTTAAGCTTTGGGGCATCTGTCGGCCTAAGTGCAAGGTGTGCGTGTGTGTGTGTGTGTGTATGTATGTTCACACACGTGTGCAGCTGCAGCCCCGGGTGTGTGAGCAAAGGATGTCCTTCCAGCTCCCCAGCCTGGCGTGCGGAGTGGGCTCCCGCTGGCCTTGCTGCTATCTATGCCTGCTTCCTCTCACTTCCTGGCACTGGAGTTGGGCTTCTCCTCCTTTCTTCACCTGAGCCTCTTCCCCAAAGAACGTTAGATCCTAAGAGAACCTACGGTAAGGGAATATACTTCTGTCATTGGATGGGGTCAGCTCTACTTAGAACCCACAGCCCAGACTCTTGGTAACATTGTTTTCTAACTGCATTTCTGGATAACCAAGGGTCAACCCAGAGCCTCTTTTCTGTTTTTGATTCCTTTCTTGCCATAGTAGGCACCTTCTGTGCAGCGTTTCTTGGTACAAAGAAGAGAACAGATCTGAGTTTCCAATCTGGACACCTCCAAGCTGTGTGGCCTCAGTCTAATCACCCTTCCACTCTGGTCCTCACTTCCCTCACCTCTAGTAATAAAGGAAATGGAGTCATCAGAGCTTCTCGAAGTTCTCCACCTAAACATCCCTCAGCAGAGGGGGCCAGCTGGTTGGCAAATTGGGAGCAGAACCCTAAAGAAGCAGCCCTAAGTAACCTATCTAGTGTAAAACTCCTTTGGGAAGGGAGTCTCCTGTTTTGGCTTTGAAATTCATGCTTCTGCATTCTGTTACATAACACATACGCATCTGTCTTAATATGAAAACGTTTCGATCAACTTGCCACTTAAGTGACTTGCCTTTTTCCCAGAACCTTCTAGTGAAGTTGGAGTGTTCCTTGGTCACCCTACAGCTTTGGGAAGCCCCAGCCCATGGCTGAGGGCTCGGGAGTAAGCACAGCCCACTGCAAAAAACATAAGGCCAGAGGCTCAAGAGTTTGCTCAGCTCGGCCATTCTAGGATCATGTGGTCCTCACCCTGGGGGTCAGTGTCCACTGAGTGGTGAAGCAGGTGAAGATGGACAAGGGGTAGGGAACTGGGCCCAGTTGACCCTGACCCCTGGTTGCTCCTGGATCTCCTGTGAGTAAAATCTCCTTCTAGCCCTGATCAGGTGGGAATCCCGTGGACCCCGGCCATGTGAAGCCTGCTCCCTGGGGCCTCAAGATGCTAAGGGAGGTAGGGTTCTGACAGGTAAGGAGCCTTCAGTGGAGGGAAGAGGGAGTGAAGGAAGGAGGATGAGGCCTCTGAAGATAGGCCAAAAAAAAATGTGTGCAACTTTCCTAGAGAAGAAGGCTTAAGTGATACAATCAAACAGGCGTTGGGACTTCTACAGGTGTGTCAGGGAGGGAAAGCTTTCGCCAGAAATTTGGCCAACCCCAGCCAATAGAAGAGGGATCCCAGGAGGCAAGTGGGTGCCCAAAAAACAGAAGAGAACTTCCTAACACCTGGAGGTGTCTAAAGAGGAACGAGGTCCCTTGTGAAGGAGTGAGCTCAGTCAGGGCAAGAGTTCAACACTGCCTTTCCAGAGTGCTGGAGACCAGGCGCAGCGGCTCAGGCCCGTAATCCCAGCAATTTGGGAGGTTGAGAAGGGAGGACTGGATTCCTTGAGGCCTGGAGTTTGAGATTACAGTGAGCTGTGATCACACCACTGTACTCTAGTTGGGACAGAGCGATTAAAAAAAAAAAATACTGGGGAGGAGAGTCTATAGGGTGCCTTCCATCAGGCATCCCCAAACTTTTTACACAGGGGGCCAGTTCACTGTCCCTCAGACCGTTGGAGGGCCGCCACATACTGTGCTCCTCTCACTGACCACCAATGAAAGAGGTGCCCCTTCCTGAAGTGCGGGGGCGGGGGGGGCCGGATAAATGGCCTCAGGGGGCCGCATGCAGCCTGCGGGCCGTAGTTTGGGGACGCCTGCTCTAATTTGTGGAAAGGTGAATACACATCCCCCATATGACTGTGGAAGAAGAACCAGGCCAGAGTGATGGGGGGGTGGCGAGTGAAAAATCAGCACTGGGCAGGTTCACAAAACTCAGCTTGGGGGCCCGGGGCTGCCAGTCCCCATTTCCCCACCAGTCACCTACAGCAAGTTAGGGCCAGAGAAGGGGACTCCATAGAAAAACCCTGGTTCTTATTTAGAGCCCTCAAACATTTGACAAGAGAACAGTCATGACCCTACTGGAAGTAAAACCCTCGTCTCAGGCCTTCGTCTGAGCCAGGCCTGCCCCTTCCTGAACCAGGACAGAGCTCTGTACGGACCCCACTCCTCCTTTCCTGGAGCCTGGACAGCTTTTCCTCCCTGAGGGACCCCTGAGCTCACTGCAGAATGGGCAACCAGCACATAAGGGGCTCTTCCGGAACAGCGCACAGCCAGGTGTCCCTTACGTGGCCTTTCCCCTCTGAGAGAAGGTGAAGTCAGGGCTTCATAAGGGCAAGTGAGCACAGGGTCAGGCCCCAGCTGGAAGCAGGAGCCAGCGGGGTTGGGGGCCTTACAGGAGGGAAGGGCCAGGCAACTCACAGGCAGAGGGACCTCCAGGGGACAAATTCCAGAATGAGGTTTGTATCCAGTGAACCCCTCCGACTCCCCCGTGTCCTCCTTTTCTCTGTTCCCAGTCCCTCTTCCTAACACAACTACCCCTCTCTGGGTGTAGACACCCTTCCTTTCTCTCTGTCCAAACCGGCCCTGACAGGAGTCACCAAATGTGAACGTGACTCAATGGCTCCCTCTCCTGGCCTTTGCCGCCCCGGCTTCTCAGTCAGGTGGAAGAAAGGCTCCTCAGCAAAGCACTGTCAGATCACCAGCAGCACACAAGCCCGTTTTCTCTGGACAGAGGAGCCTTGAAATTGCAGCCTTGAACAGTTAGCGACCTCGTGGCTCCTGCCCATCCCTCCCTCGCCCCGCTTCCCCGCTCAGAAAGGGATGCGGAATGCGGGAAGCAAGCAACTAACCTTCCGCTCCTTTCAGGTTTGAAGGCTGAGAACCGAGTCAGACACGCATTTCCATACATTGTTGGAAAGAGGATTCCCTGGAGAGATCCCGCTCCTTTTCCCTCCTTGGCACACCCTGGGTAGTGGTTGCTGTGACCTTGAATGGCAATGCCCACGTGGCCTAAACCAAAACGTATGGGCCCAGAAAGAGCCTGACATATAAAAATAAAACATCTCAAATTTGCCCTGGAAAACCTGGAACCTGATCACTTAATCTGCAGACACACACACACACACACCCCACTCGGTCACCAGACAAATGGTGCACAGGCTGATGTCATCGCTCCTTGTAACAATAGGAGACACAGTGCATGAGCAAGGCCCAGCAAAGCCATTTTCCCCACAAGCCTGCCTGCTGGAAGATGCATAATGCACACTCAGATTGTCCCTTGCAGCTCCCGTCTTTAACCATCAACTCTGACCCCAACAACAAAAACGAAAGAACAAATAGGTTTCCAGAATAAGGAAGGCAGGTAGAGTGAATTAGACCACTTTCCCATGTTCCTCTCACAATTAATAAATGAAACATGCACTCTCCGAGTAACGTAGGTGCCTTCTGCTTTCTGGGATTCCATGAATCTTCTGGTTTCCACCCCAGTAAGCAGGTATCAGCATCCCTATTCATAACAGCTGGAGTTTTTGTCAAACACTGGAAGCCACTTCAGCTAGCTTAAGTAGAAAAGGCATTTATTACAGGAAACTAAGTCTCTTTCAGAATTTTCACAAGAGCCAGAAGAAAGTCAAGCTGGCAGAGCCACCAAGATCAGTTGTCCAGGTTGCAAACTGTACAACACCATTACATTTAAAGGCTGCCATTGATTCAGACATTTGTATACTAAACAATTGTCCAGCAGAGGGCAGTCAAGCATCTTGAAGGGGTGCCTAATTGTCTAATTTGCACGAAGCCAAATTAGAGGGGAGGGGAGTGGGAGGGGAGGGGGAGGGGAGTCAGGGTAGAAGGGAAGAGACCAGGGAGGAGAGGAGGGGAGTTGGGGTAGAAAGAAGGAGAGGAGGGGAGGAGGGTTAGAAGGGAGGAGAGAAGGGAGGGGAGGAGGAGAGTTGGAGTGGGAGGGTGGAAAGGAGGGGAGGCCAGGTAGAAGGGAGGAGAGGAGGGAGGGGCGGAGGGGAGTTAGGAAGGGAGTCAGGGTAGAAGGGTGGCAAAGAGGGAGGAGAGGAGGGAGGGGAGGAGGGAGGGGAGGAGGGAGGGGAGGGGGAGGGGAGGGGGAGGGGAGGGGAGGGGGGAGGGGGAGGGAGGGGGAGGGGAG